ACGCTTCGCGGACGCTTCGCGAACGCTTTAACAACGGTCGCTGGTCAACCATTGGACCCCTGGACCCCAACCTTTAAAACGGGAACCCTTCTGCTACGCATTCGGGAAAAATCATAACACTGCTAGTGCAGCTGCAGCAGCAGCAGCAGCAGCAGCAGGAGCAGCAGCTTTAGCATGATGACTGGAGTGTCGGCAACCGCCCAAACTTGGCCTCCAAAGAGAGCTTGCAACTGGCCATGGCTTTTGACACCTGGCCGAGAACCAGCCCATGCACCATCTGGCATGGTCTGATGAATTTGTGCCGCAGAATGGTAGATTGGCTATTGGGGGGGGGGCGCTGCGAACAAACACTCGTTCTGCGCGTAACACTTGGAAACGCTGCGTTGATGAACTAACAGGCCTTCGTGGTTGATTCAAGGGCTCAAGAGAACCAGCTCTTGAGACTACAGACGGGGGATGTGCTGCTGCTGTTCTACCAGTTCGAAAAATGCCTTTTGTCCGGTAGTCTCTTTCGCATGCGACATCTTTGTACCGGCGAAAGATGGATGAAGTCGATCAATCAGTGTTCCAGAATCTTCTTTTTCCCTGAAGTCCTCACTGCTCATCTGCCCCTGACTTCACTATCGCCCCATCCTGCCAGCGGCCATAAGCAGGGAACCAAACTCCGACTCCAGCCGCCGGCTTTGAACCGGACTTTGCCTCTCAAGGCATTTCCCCCCACTGCCGGCAACCCTCGACAAACCGAACACCCCTCTACTAAGTCCACAGATCCCGAACGCTTCCCAGCACGCCAAACCTCGCCAGCAACTTCGTAGGCTTCCGCCTTGCGGTAATGCACCTGCTCTGTGGCCGGGGGCTAAAGACAGAAAGAGCGTTTCGCCCACATTCCTATCGTGAGGGCTGCTGGGCTCAAGAGTCGGGCAGAAAGGGCATACATGATTAAATGGTACTATACTTCGGCTTTGGGAGCATTTGGGAGCCATAGACATGCTAAGGGCATACTTAAACTGTACCGGGCCAACACGTTGTGCCTTCAGCGGCGCAGTCTACGAGTGGGCCCTGTAGGCTTCTCACGCGAAGACAGTCCCGGGGAAGCATGTTCAAATCGGACGTGTTCATGGTGATACTGAAATCAGGATCGATATGACAAATTTGTGCTCGAACTCCAGGACGAAAGATCAGACCAGTCACAAATCTGCAGAAACACCACCAACGATAAGTAGTGACGGGAATCATACCGGACAACCTCTACCTGGTTGTGAGGACATGGAGTCGGGTATCGGGAGTGCCAACGTCCGGTCCGGCATTGGGTCGACGCTCTCACACTCGGAACAAGGCCAGCAAGCTGCTGAATCAACAGCCGCTTTCCACCCAACCACTGCGATGGACCTAACATCGGTTCGCGGACACCTCAGACCTCGCCTTAGGTCTTCCAGACTAGGATTATGTCAAAGTCTTTACATGGATACCCTGCAAGCAGAAAAAAAGCCAGGTATATAAGTAACCCGGAGAGCCTCCACAAACCAAGGGGTTGCGCCAAGCCTTGCCACGGAGCTCCGGAGTCACCGCGATCTTCAGCCGCTCTCGCAGCGCCTCCCCGCAGCTGATCTTTGAGATGTTACTGTTACGGGCACCAGAATAGGGTTCTGGTCCATATGATGCCACAACCTCATAAAGACTACAAGGGGAGACCATTCAATCAGAAGCCACCTGAAAATGCTGTTCTCTTTTCAAGGGGGTTTCGTTGAATGCCCTATCAGCCCCAAACATCCCCGGCCAGGCTGGTTAGTTTCAGGTTCAGTGCTTACAGCCCGCTGTATGCTCAGTGTCACCTTGAAGTGCGAAACTCAAACTCCCGTGAATTTGGTCCCTCTCGGTCCGGGCAACTCCAGGAGAGGCATGAACGAAGAAGCCACCACTTGCATTGAAAGAGCAAAGAAACCACTTTCTGGTAGAAGACCTAAACCTTAGACCCAAAGCTGGCGTGATAAATCCGTGCAAGGCCCGCATGTCCAGCTCAAGAACGATGCAGATCGCATCAAACAAGCGCAGTGTTGCCGAGCCACAGCTGGACTTAGCTAGACCTCCCCATGTCACTTGAATTTCGGGTCGTCTGCCAACTCCCTCACATCCATATCAGCACAGTTCAAAACAGCACATCTGATCTGTCCATCGCCAACCCCAACAACCAGCCTTGTCACAGTGCTCCAGGGCTTTCTCGACCTTCATGAGCTTTGTATAACCAAGCCTGGGAGGTGCATTTTGCTCCAGCCCTCAACACAAAGATCTATCTTCGAGGCGGCGACGCCATGTTCGAGTGCAACCTGAACTCGGTGTCGGCATCCTCCGCTTCCCCGAGCATCAGCATCATAATAACAAGGAACCCCCAAAAGATAATGATTAAGGCCCACTATACTTTAACTAAAATAAGGATCACCAGCACCAGCCGTTGCAAAGGAGTCGGAGGAGCGGCAGATGTCGTGTCTTGTGCTGTTGCTGCGAACGGTACTAGTGGGAGCAGTAGGAGGAACAGCAGCAGTAGTAGCAGTAGCAGTAGTGGTGGTGGTGCTGGTCGCAGCAGTAGTAGCAGTAGTAGTAGTAGTAGTAGTAGCAGCAGCAGCAGCAGTAGTAGTAGTAGTAGCAGCAGCAGAAGCTGCAGCAGCAGCAGCGGCAGCGGCGGCAGCAGCACTGGTAGTGGTGATAGCAGTGGAAGTTCTGCTTTCGGGCTCCGTTGGTGGTGGTGGCGGTAGTGGTAGATTTGCTTCGGAGCTCCGGTTGGTAGTGGTAGTAGTGATAGTGAGTTGTAGTAGCAGCAGCAGCAGCAGCAGCAGCAGCAGTAAGTTGTTGTTGTTGCTGCATCAGCAGTGGTAAGGCTTGCGATCTTGCTGCATAAACAGAACTGCGCCCCGCTATCACCCCAAAGCATCAGGCGCAGGAAAATCCTGAAGCTTCTCTGCGCCTTTGAGGGCGTTCTTCCAATACCTGGTACCAGGGGCGTGTCGCTTTTCTCTGTTGTTGACACGCACACTGCCTTAATTACATGATGCTGTCGCTCAAACATCGGCCGATGCGTCCACTCTCATTTCTAGCAGCCTTCGGCAACTGTGCAAAGAACAGGAACCCTCGCAAAGCCTGTTGGCTTTCTTCCAGTCCTGAGCAGCAATGCTCCTTGACAATGACAGTCACCTAGCGATCTCTAGATACCTGTACATCTATATATCTATATATCTATACATCTAAACATCTAGAATTATCTATATTCCTATATATATATATGTATGTATGTATGTATGTATATCTGTATATCTATAGCGTGGCTCTGCACCCGAGCTGTAACACGAGAGCCTCTGCGGCCCTGAACCGAAGATTAAGGGGCGCACCCCTTCACGGCTGGCGGCGTTGCCGTTTGACTTCTCGAGTTCCGTCGCATACTCGATCTCCTTCTTCCTGCATGTGTGTGAGATAAGTCTTGGCGGCGACTTGTCCCAAAAAGTCCCCAAGTCACTGTGACAAGGGTTTCGCAAGACCGGCTGGGATTGAACAGGCCAGCACGACGTCTTCCCATACCAAAGTGGGTCATCCTCGGCATTATTCTGTGCCATCAACTGCAGCAAGGGGGCCATAAAAGTACACACAACTCTGGGCCCTGTCAGCCCTCAAGTCCAGAACTAGCTGCAGTAGCACATGACTGTTTTGAAGTCAGTAAGCCTGCCATTGGGTGCCACTAAATTGGGCACCTTCACTGCGCTTGCTGATTGCTACGCACATGCTGCGATGGGTGAAACAGGACTGATTCGGTATGACCTGGCAGGATGTGCTAAAAATATGATTATGTCCTGCAGCTCCGAGCCGAGTCATACAATAATGAATTCCGCGGCATCTGTACAAATATCCACGTGTCTCGAAAGCTTTCTATTGCCTGGACTTTCCCGAGCAAACTTTCAGTGGCGACACTTCTCCCTGGTTCTTGGTTGGGAATGGGGGAATGGATCCCTATGATAGTCCCTTAAGGCCCCCCATAGTAGTCCCCAAAAACCCATTCCTCCATTCCCTACTAAGAACCAGTCAGACTTAGGACCCTTCTTTGGCATCTGGCGACCCTGGAGCTCGCTGGGCCCCGGCCATCCGCATGTCCGGAGTTATGCACTCCGAGCCTGCAAGGCCACTGAGTGCTTTCATGTACTTAAGAAGAATAACAATAATAATAACAATGATAATAATAATAATAGTAGTATTAAGAATCATAGTACTAACAATAACAATAAAAATACTGTAATAATAATAAAAGTAGTAATTTGACAGAGCGCAGACACTCTCCAGCTCTCAGCTGCTCTCAGCTCTCCCAAGCTCAGCTCTAGCGGCAGAGCTTTGCCAAGGCGTCCCGCCAGCGCTCCAGCTGCTGTGTATCCGGCAGCTGAACCTGGCATTTTTTGGACCTAGCACGTGCGATTTTGCCAGGACCCCAGGACCCTCCAGGAAAATGAGACCACCGCTTTCTTGGGTAGCAAGCCAGGCTCAATTCCGAATGGTATCAGAAGACGCACGGCCCTGCTCGGAAAGTCTGGGGGGTGAGTGAGCCTGGAACCGGGGCAGCTCGAGCACCTGCCATCGGCCATCGGGCAGCAGGAAGACCAGAGACAGCCTTGCGGAAGAAATCAGAGGGCAGATGCAAGCCTCACTAGATCCCACTAGACTCTACCAGGATAAGATACCCCCAAGTTCTGGCCGCAAACTTGCAATTCGAAGGCTCCGAAATCTTGTCTTCTGTGGAGGTGCCAGCCATGGCTTCTCCGCATGTGACTAATAAGCATGGGTCTCCACATTCAGCTTCACAATGCGGAGAGACATGTAGCTGTAGAACCCGAAAGGGCTTCGACTCCGACCGCTTTGGGATGTGCTTTCACGCTATGCTTGCGGCGACTACCAGTACCAGGCAAGCCCCAAGTTGCTGCTGCACGCCTGGGCGGGCTCGTCGGACTCGGTAGTGAAAAGCTGATGGGGCTCTTCACGGTCTCCGCCTGCCAATGCATGCGGGATGGTTGGCTTTCATTTATATAAGACCCTATCAAATTGTATCACACATACAACCTGAAGCATGCAGCTGGTCCCACAGAACATGACAAAATTAGCCAGGCCAGACAAATACTAGTTACGCAACAAATCATGACACAGCATTTCAGCACAAGGAGGGCCGTCGAGTCGGAAATCGCGCACCCTCCAACAAGGAGTCACTGCATGCATGCTTTAAGGCACGGAGGTCGTGTGTCGTTCGCCCTGCTGCCTGCACTTGCGCCGTGATTGGTGGCACTGGTGCCGGCAGCAGTGTCAACAAAAGAGACATGCTGTCAACAGCCACCTCAGGACAAAGAAGACTCATAGGTGCAGAGCCGTATGAATGTCTGCACTTGCCCACTGGGCTCGCTGCGACGAGGCCCTTGACGTTCATGCATGCGTACCTGAGACCGGGGAGCGCACATGCCAAAACATCTCCTTCTACCGCACGCCACAGGCTCCCACCGTTCTGCGAGTACCGCTTCGGCGCGTGTCACAAGATCGACATGTCGCCGAGGCAACACAGCAAGGCAAGAGCTCGGCCAGGTCACGGCGCCCAGGGGTAGTTTGAAGCGGAAAGGAAGAGGAAGCACTCGTGCAGGGTCAGGAAAGCCTTGGAATCTCGGAATCGGTTCCCGTCACAGGAGGCCAAGGCCGGCGCCTTGTCCAGACTTCCAAATCCTGGATCCACACTGATCGGCGACTCTTGGTAGCCTTCAGACTTCGGAATAAGCTGGCTCATGGTCAGATACTGCGAGATGCCCTGCCTCGCGGCGTGTCTTCGTCCACCGACAGTGCGCGCCGCAAGCCCCGGAATGCAGGTGCGGACTTTGATGTCGTGAGCAGCAGGCCTTAGATTGGCAACACACATGCGCTTTGTGAGATCTTATGGGTCTTCCAGGTTCGACTCTGCAAAGCCTTGCCGGACAAGAAGAGACTCAGGTGCAAACCTTCATCGCGGCTGTTGGTGCGACTGGCTGCACGACTTGGCACCGCCGGCAGCGGCATGGAAGTACTCTCGCTGTGGATGCTGCGAATGTGGCGATACGACACCACCCTGCGCAGAAGGATAAGAAAGGACCCGTGCACTCTTGCAAAAGGAAGGTTTCAGACTGAAGTCCATACACTGCAACACGTCTGCCGCCTGTGAGCTCCCGCCAGCGCCAGCGATGGAAACCCACCCGCCACAAGGCGTGCAAACACCTCCAGCTGCCCTTCGGAAGCCACCTGCAACACAGCGGGCAACGATGAATCGGGCTTCGTGGCAACGCAAGCAGCAGCATTGGGCCGATCATGAAGGCCTGGGCAGGGTCTGTTGGAACGCGGACTTTCCACATCTCCAGCTGGGGATAAAAGTTGTGCGCGACGACCTGGGCCGCAAAACTCACTCTCCTGCGAAGGACCAGCTCGTCTGCTCTGTGGACAAGTGACAATTTTCGGCTGGGGCCCCGACATTGTAGATCAAGCTCTGGATACGTGTCATGGCTGAGAGCCTGCTCTTTCTGTCTCCAGAGTCTTCCAGCTCGGGTGAGATGCCAGACCCTATCTGCAACCACTGCTCGGTCGTCACGCGCTGAGAACGCGGTAGAGGAGCATAGAGATTCCAATGCAACAGCACAGTTGAGAACATCAGCTGGTGGAGCACATCATAGGAGCCAGCCACGTGCATAAGTTCCAGGCCTTGGACCTCCGCGCCATCCTCTCCAACTCCTCCCCGATACGCTGTTTCTCCCTCTTTCTTAGCTAACTGCTCGTGCTGCCGCCACCAAATCTGCGCAATACCATCCACCAGCCGGTCGATCTTGAGCAATTCCGTTGGCATCACGAAAGATTTGAAGACCTTGGCCAGGCAGGAGACCACACCTGTCCCGAGCAATCGCAAGGAGTTCACAAACTCCAGGCGAAGCGTCTGGGACAGCGAGAAGTCCTCGCCCAAGAATTGGCCGACCTGTTCAGTGGAAATTCCAGGCTGGGAAAAGAACATACTGAGCTCCACGGGAAAATCTCGGATGCATCCGGTGGCGACGAGGAACGCGAGTCCCTGGCCCGGTCGGGTGTTGAAGATCTTCCGTGCCAGCTTCTGCAGCTCTTGGGACGCAACGTCTTTGAAGACGGGCGTCCGTGGCACGAAGAAAGGCTCAAAGCGCAGCCTTGATGAGACCTCGTCTCGCAGCCCAGGCTGCAAGGACGGTGGGGGTCGCCAGGGCTGCTTCAACTGCAGCTCTCGATATTCTGTGTAGCTCTGCATGGCCTCACGAAGCCAGACGTCACTCACCAGCTCTACAGGAGTCTGACCTCGGTGGGTTCGCAGCAAGGGATCGCAACCTTTCTGCATCAGGAGAACACAGACTTGTCGTCTGCCCATAAAGAGTGCCACGTGCATCGGGGACCATCCGGATGCATCGGTCGCATCAAGGGAGAGCTTTCTTTGCTTCAAGATCTCTTTGATCACCGCAAGCGAACCACTCCGACAGGCTGCATGCAAGCATGTTGTGCCGTTGGTGTCGCAAGCATCCGGATTGGCCCCAAGCAAAGACAGCCATCTGACACCCGCTAAGTTGCGACTGCTGGAGAACAGGAGCAGGAAGCGATCGATCTCGTTCAGCTCCTCCAAGGTTTCCGTGAAGACAGCTCCGGCAGGATCGCACGTGGAGCTATCGTCGAAGAGCTCGCTTTCCACACCGGGATGCAAGCTCGACTTCGGGCAGACTGCATCACTGCAAAACACACGGTTCCCCATCGCTTGTGGGCTGGGCCCCCGTTTCGGGCCATTGCGCACAGGATTCTTAAGACACCTGCTCGGACCGCTATGATTATGACTGCCAAGACCTGCTGGGACGCTGAGTATGACTGCCATGCCAGCAAGACATGCTTTCTGTCCCTTCATACACTAAAAGAAGCAACGACGTGTGAGGCCATGCGTATGTAGCAGTCTGGTCACGGATGTAGCATGCCACTGCCTGCAGATTGGCAAAGCAGGTATGTTGTATACTACACTGGCCGGTCCGCAAAGCTTATCTGGAGCCACTGCCCTGCACACCAAGACCTCCGTGAACCTTGCAGCGCTCAGCGGACAATACTCAGTCTGGAAGGCGCGCAGAAGCTGCATGGGGAGCGGCTCACCCTTTTCCCTCCGTGGCTGAGTGGCAACCCTGTGCTGGGAGGTCCCGGTCTACCGGCTCTATAGGAATGAGACTCCAGCAGGCATCTCTTCAAGGGTTTCGGGTTTAGGGTCACTGTATAAGATAAGGGCTACTGCACAGGTCACTATGTAAGGGCGACTATGGACCAGACAAAGGCGTTTTCTGCGCCATGGGACAGGGTCCTGTGCGGGGCCTTGAAGTCTCCAACCTGGCATCCACGAATTTTCGAATCCGATCTCATGAAACTGAAGGTGTCAGGCAAACAATGCAACAAGGACTGAGACAAAATGAGATGCGGTGAATTGTCTTATCGCATGGGAAGCATAGCACATTGGTTCGAGGACAAAATCTACTCACAGCCGAGCAAACAATGCAAGGATTCCTCTCAGTCTAGCTTCAGGTCGAAACGTGTAGGGGAAACGCCCGCCGCATCAATCAAGAAGATCTCGCCATAGTCACCTGTGTGGATGTCACGCTCCCCAACTGAAGAAAGGACGTCTTTGCATAGTTCTACAATGCCTCTCTTGTCCAGGGCAGGCGTGTCAATTGTCTGATTCCCCTTTGCAATCTGCGCGTCCAGCACACTCATCACCAAGGAACTTCCGCTGCCGCTTGTGGTATAAGGGACGCGCTCGAAGCTACCAATGGCGTCGTAGTGATACACCGCCCCTTTACCTTCATCATCGATGCCGCAAAGAACGTTGAAGGTGTAGTACGGGAAGAAGCGCTTGTAGTACAACGTAGTTGCGAGCATCTGAGCAATCGCTGTGACCGATGGCTGCTTGCGGTGTTGATGCTCATACATCACCTGGGCAGCCAAGCACGGCCAGTCCATGTCGTGGGAAAGGAAGGGGCCGTGTTGAGTCGGTGTGCAAACTGCTGCCGGCAAACATGCTCAGTGGAACCGATGGCTAAGTTCGACTCAGGCTTGCACCATACGCGCCTTCAAGTGCTTGTGGAGGGTGATGGCATCAGCCTTCATGCCGCAGGACGCGATGACGCACTTGTCCGTCAGCTGCGTGACTTTGCTGCAGTCCCGTGTGTGGATGCTGTATCCTTGGCTGAGACGGGTGTCAGCTGCCACCACCACGAAGTCTTCACCTCCAGTGGATCCGCGTGACACAAAGTTTGAAGGTCGAGGGTGACGAAACCGACTACATCTACACATGAAAATGGCGGCAGCCTGCAACTCCCATGCACGTTCCTCCGTTGTCAGCATATGGGCTCCATCGGTGCTCCGTGGGGGCCTGTCAAGAACAGGTGGGCTTCTCTCCAATGCTCTCCCGCGTTCCCTCACACTTGCAGACTTCTGTTCGTCGGTCCTGCATCTTCGGGCAGCGGTGAGTTTACTTTGCAAGGCAACTTGAGCCAGAAAGTGTACTACCGAGCCAGCTGCAATGCAGAAAAACAGGCGTGCACGAGCCTGACCGTCTAAAACCACTGCATGATTCACGGACTGTCAGATATTCAGTCGGGTGAGACTGCATGGCGCCACATACGACAATTTTGAAAAATCTGATAGTGTGCGGGAGCATATGTATCATATTTCGCTCCACTATATCACTATGCTGTTGCATCTTCCCGGTAATGTGTTGCTGTGTGCTGGAAGATGCTGCAGTAAGTATGCTTTGCTCCAACTACTAGGGTCTATTTCGATCTACGATGTAGAACGAATCTATCCTGCGACGTTGTGTTCTGTGTCATCCTAGGTCCGATTCTGCGCTAGCAGAACATGTCATGTAGATAGAGTTATGATGGTCTTAAATGCATGCGCGCATGCGTGCGGTGTATCTAAACTGGGCAGC